CCCACAAGTGTTCCTATGTAACAAACCTACACATGTACCACTGAACTTAAAAGTTAAAAAAACAACAAAAAAGAAGAAAAACAAAAACACCTCTTTGTTCGAGATTACATAGCTTACAAGTCACACAGCTAGAAAGTAATTGAGCTCTTAATGTTGATTATAAAGCTCAAATTCTATGTGCAAAGATTATTTTATCAAACCTAGCTTACATGCCATCTACACACAGTGCCATGATACATGTGTATGGAAACTTTCATGGATTCATTAATTTTTAAATTATGTGTTGAACACTTATTATATGCAAAGTTCTATGCACTGGGGATATACCAGTAAATGAGAGTCCATAATATCAGGTAAAAAATACTTAAACACTAAATTATATGTCAAGTGATAGGTGCTATGAGGAAGATTAAAGCATTGAAAATTGAGGGAGTGACGAAGGGAAAAATGCGGTGTACAATTTTTGATAGAATGGTCAGAGAAGTCCACTCTAATGAGGAAACACTTGTGCAAAGACCTATCTGAGTATATCATACAGAAGGAACAGCATACAAAAGGAGGAAGTGCTTGGCCTGTATACAAAACAGACAGAAGCCAGGGTGGCTGCGGTGGAGTGAGCCATGGGCTGAGAAGATGCATGGCACGATGTGAGGTCAGATGTAACAGTGAAACAAAAGAGGTCAGAAGAATAGAGTTCATAGAAGACTGTCAAATACAGTTTAGAAGTTCAGTAAGATGAACTCCAAACAAAAAAATCAATGGTCACTCTACTATGGAAGAATATTTTTCAGTTACTCCTAAGTATGACATAAATATTCTTACATGCACAATTGTATTAATCCCATTGGATTAGCCTGCAAAATATAGCCACACATTTTTCTTGCATTTGCAAGTTGAGAGCATTATTCTGTAGTAGAAACATACACTGTATAATATATAGAAGTTGATAATTTATATAAAAACCAAATCTGTAACATTCACAGAATAACAGCATTCAAAAGTAACTTTTGCTGTTAAAACATTTTCTTGTCTTTTTGAGGAACTTGTGAGTCCAGTTAGAATATATAAATTTTTCTATGTAAAATGTTACTGGATTTGTAAACAACTGTTTTAGGTGGATGCTGGCTCTAACACTTTGGTTTCATGCAGGGATAAGTACTTTTTGGCATTTAATAAAGATAAATAAAATATAAAATTATTCCCAATGAACTAGTTTATTTTCTATTATTCCATGATAGGTATTGTCACTGACAAAAAAAGGGCATACACAAAGTATTTATTCATTAATTTGTTCACAAATTTTTTGGTACCTACTATGCATCAAGGCTTATTCTGGGTGCTGGGGATACAATTATGGATAAAAGAGCAAAAAATCTATTCCATTATGAAGCTTACATGCTATTGGAAAACAAAACAATAAAAATAATATTTAAGTATAATATATGAAATTTAAGTATCAAAGTAATAGATGTTGAAAAGCAGGGAAATACAATATAAAATATTTGAAGGAAGAAGTGCAATTTTAGACAGAGTGACTAGAGAAGAATTTTTTTTTTTTTTTTTTGAGATGGTATCATTTGGAATTAATGCCTGAAGAAAATGTAAAAGTTTGCGAAAGTATTCTAAACAGAGCAAATATGATGTGCAAGAAAGAAGCCAGGGTGACCATAACAAAAAGAACCAAGAGGAGAGTACTGGGAGAGAGGTTAAAGAGTTAACAGAGACTAAACCATGTAGGGCCTAATAAGTCACTATGAGATCTTATTTCTCCCCTCAGTGAATGGTAAACCTCAGCAGCAAGTGTTCAAAAGAACTTTCTGCAATGACGGAAAGGTTCTGTGACATCTACTACGTTAGCCACCAGCCACATGTAGCTACTGAGTACTTGAAATTTGGCTAGTGCAACTGAGGCATCAGAATTTTAATTAAATTTAATTATAATTAATTAAATTTGAATAGCCACACATGACTAGTGGTTACAGTCTGGCATAGTACAGCTGTGGAGATTTCTAAGCACAGGAGCAGAGGGATTTACATTTTAACAAGAGTCACTCAGGCTGTTGTGCTGAGGATGGACTTTAGGAGGACGGGAAAATATAAAAAGAAAGACTATATATCATGCTGGTACAATAAGTCAAGTGAAATATGAAAATAAGACTATACATCATGCTGTTACCATAAGTCAAGTGAGAATGATATGGCTTGGACTAAGGTGATCCAAGGTAATGGTGAGAAGCAGTCAAAGCTGGATATGTTTTGTGGCAGTGTCAGTAAGATTTGCTGAAGGGCTCAGTGTGGGATGTGTAAACAGCAGTCAAGGACGGAGCAACATTTATGGCCTTGGGAACAGTAAGCATGGAGTTGCCTTTGGCTGAGATGGAGAAAAATATAAGAGAAACTGGTTTGGAAGAAAATATTAGAAGCTCAGTTTTCATATGTTAGGTGTGAGATGACTATTAGATAATCAAGTAGAAGACGCCAAGTGGACAGATGAATATACAGAGCTGGAGATGGGAGAGATCTGGACTTGCAATAATAAATTTTGGAGTTATCAACATACTAGTAGTATTTTTAAGTCATGGGACTAGATAAAATTGTCTAGAGAGTGAATAGACAGAAAAGAGAAGAGGTCCAATGATATTAGCTGAGCCCTATTAGTTAATAAAATACTAAGGAGGATTAAACAGAACAAAACCTATGCTTAAAGGTTTAGAGTTCAGTGACACAGTGAGTAAATGATCATAAAAACATTGTGGGTTTTTTTTCAGATAGTTGGCAGAAACTAATGCGCAGGAAAGAAGACGCCTGCTCTTCTGAGGGCTCAGGCCATGCTTTCTGTCAGTCTAACGAGAGGTCAGATAGCACAGGATGCATCTGACATGATACCACATGACTGCTACTACGGAGGTCACTGTCCTTTAGCTGTATTCTAATTACATAAGGAAATAATTAAAACCCAAACGATGTACTGCTTTATATAGCTAAGGCAATATCCTGAATCATACCAGCTGCGTTACTCGCAATATAATGTTACAGTCCTGACTACATATAAGTAAGTATTAAGAGATAAACCCAATTCAGATAACACAAAAGGGAGACAAGGTCTGCAGATGGTAAAACGCTCAGGTTATTGTTAGTGTGTGTAATGGTTAAATTTTATGTCAACTTGGCTAGGCTATAATGCCCAGTTGTTTGGTCAAACATTAGTCTAACTGTTGCTGTGGAGGTATTTTGTAGATATGATTAACATCTACAGTCAGTTAACTTTAAGTAAAGGATATTACCCTCAAGAATGTGGGAAAGGCTCATCCAATCAACCAAAGGCCTTAGCAAAAGCTGAGGTTTCCTGGAGAAGAAATTCTGCCTCAAGGCTGTAACACAGAAATCTTGCCTGAGTTTCTAGCCTGCCAGCCTGTCCTACAGATTTCAGACTTACCAGCTCCCATGATCTCATGAACAAATTCCTTAAAATAAATTTATTTAATGAATATAAATATCTCTGGAGCATCCTGACTGATACAATCTGCCTCTATTTGTACAAGCAGTGTGATACTATGTAAGTTTTATTTAACCTCTTTCAGCTTCAGGTTTTTCCTGGTAAAATGGAGAACACCTCAATGTCACCCTTAATAAAGATGTTCAAGGATAAAGGAAATAATCCATGTAAAGTTCTTAGTATGGTACCTAGCACATAACAAATAATAAATGTTAGAGGTCACGGGTTATTGCTATTATTATGATAAATATTAAGTGCTGACTATTTTAAAGACATATAATTTTACCTTAAATCCAAAAATAATAAAGTTTAAAAAAATCTATCTTACACTCATAATCCCAGGAAGTTGGTTAAATACCATCCTACTCATATTCTAGGTGTTTTTCTCTAACTAACAAAGTCTCATTCTGTCACCCAGGCTGGAGTTCTGTGGCACAATCTTGGCTCACTGCAACCTCCGCCTCCTGGGTTCAAGCAATTCTTGTGCTTCAGCCTCCTGAGTAGCTACAATTACAGGCGCCCACCACCACGCCTGGCTAATTTTTATAAATTAGTAGAGACGGAGTTTCACCATGTTGGCCAGGTTGGTGTCAAACTCCTGACCTCAGGTGATCCACCCGCCTCGGCCTCCCAAAGTGCTGGGATTACAGGCGTGAGCCACCGCACCCGGTCAACAGAATCATTTTTACCAAGGCTCTTCTTAGTAGTGTCCTGTTTACATTTCACCAGCCAACTCTGTCAAACAGAGATTTAATAAACTCTGCCAAACAGAGATTTAATAGAAACATTTAGTGGGGTCAAATAAAATAAAAATATAAAAGGAAGAACATCAGCAATCTAAATATACTGACCTGTTTCACTACTAGTTTTCCAGAAAACTTCATTGTACAGATAACAACAAGAAGAACAACAAAAATAATTGTATGTCCACAAAACTTTAGGGAGAACATTTGTGATTTATAAACAACCAAATTTTAGTTTTAGTTGTACTACATTACCATAAACAACCATATTTGAGATGAAAATCTTCCCTTGGTAAGACTGAATAGAAAATTACGAAAGAAAACTTTTTAGAAGAACATATTACTTCTCTATGTATATGCTTATATATGCTTCTGTATAAAAAAGAACGATACAACTTTAATAAATAGGATGAGTTGACTCTAAAAGATTCTTTTTTAAAAAGAGTCACTTCTTATACCTAAACAACCATGTTACATATGAAAGACAGTAGACTAAAATACTTGCCTAACCGTATTTTGTATTATGTTGCATATTATTATAAAGTAGACATAACTTCCATTGTAGCTACTATAAAAAGTTTAGATTTTCCCTTAAACTCTTCTGATGAAGAATTATTAAAGATTTCAGGAAAAATTTCAATTAATTTTTTTATATTTTAAATTATTTTTTAAATGACTTTTAAATTTGTAGCCATTTTTTTATTACCAACTATTATAGTTAACCTATGAATCGTTATTTACTCTAATTTATTATAACTCACCTATGAGAAACTGCTCCCCAAGCACCATGTTTATTTGTGAGAATATTGAGAATCTTCTGTTTCAGCTGATTTGCTGTTACATGGTCTCGATGTTTTGCAGCACTGATCAGATGGTCACACATCTTTTCTTCCTCTCTTCTATCAGCAGCATACTGGGCACACTGTGACTATAAAGAAATACAAACGATGCACAATAATAAACTTTTTACTGCATATAAGTAAGGATGATATACATCTAAGTTAAAGGGTAACAGGAATTCAATTTTTTAAAACTCAAATAATGTAATCTTTTGATATTTTGTTCTAAAGAATACATATTGTCACCTTTCAAATATAAAAAGTGCTCTTTCTAAAGTACATGTAAAATCATTTGAATAATATTGAAGTAATTAAAGACTCATGGTTTCTTCCAATTCTGAGACTCTAATTTTTATGTATTTTAGAAGCACAAATATTTACTATAAATGTAAACCTACTTGTTTATCAAGCCAATACAGTATATCTCACTTAAAATAAGAGGCATGTTGCTGATAATTACATATGAATCAAAAATCTGTCACTTAATTTATAGTTTTCCATTTCATGAATGGTAATGTGATATAGAAGAAAATGTAGTCATTTAGGAATTCAGTAGACCTGGATTTTAATTCACAAAATACACAAACTCCATATATTTTAATGTACTCAGTTTCATATTTGTAAATGAGGAGCTGAGACAAGATTTTTTCTACGATCTCTCCACATTCTTAAAATGTAATATGTTCAAACAGTTTCATGAGAACTACAACCTTATTCTTACCTCCCTTTTCCCATAATTATCAGTTGTCATGTCAGCTATCTGACGTGTATTCATTCTTACATTTGTTAGCAACACTGTTGATCAATGGATCATTTTTTGTATTAAAAATATTTCATGTAAATATGAAGAGGAACATTAATTATAAATTTGGTTCTTTTTATTGTAGTTTTTATAAAGAAAACTACAATAAATGCAGAGTAGTGTGACTATAACTTTTAACATTAATAAACTTGTAATACAAGTAATATAACTAGGAAGAAAAAAGTCTCATACATCTGATAAAATAAATAGAACTAGTTCACATTCATCATTACTATGCAAAAATCTATTTCATGGAAGGCACTTGAACATATTCCTCCCATTATCTATTGATATACACTACTACCACAAGTAATCTCTTCTGGAGAAATAACCCTACAGTAATCTAAGAAGGATTAATTCATTTTCCAATTTATCTTTTTGTACAGGGAATCACCAATTAGTACAATGATCTGCCTCAGTAATGAGCTTAATATTTCATTAGTTCACTGGAGAGTAAAATTAAATTTTCATTTTTCTTCCTTAACAATTACAGTAGCTAACTAAAAAAACTTAACTGTGAAGTACCCATCTAATATCAAATATACTTTTCTTCCTAATTATAGGCTGATATGTGGGATAGAAAAATTCCTCAGAAAGTTCTAGCAAAATGTCCTGACTTGTAAAATCTTTTACAATTTAAAAGGGATATCTTTGTGTAAACCACACACACACATCAACAGCTCTAACCCAAAAAGAAGAGACAGAAACATTCAGGTTAAAAAAATAAGGTACAATCATCAAATAACATTGGCATACAATCAAAATTAGATTTACATTAATATTATATTTTATGTATATAAAATCTAAAAAACACTAAGTCTTCATGTCTCCTCGGAAACCACTTATCACCTTGGGAGTTGACCCACAATGAGGGTAATCTCATTCCCAAGAGTAAAAAATTGGTGTGTGTTGCGTGGGGGATACAAATATTGTTATTTCAGTACATAAAACACAAATGTATGTAAGTACAAAAACAGATGCGCAGCCTATGGGTGGTATTATAACATTTCTTTGGGATGAGTGGCCAATTAGGCAAAATGTCTAAAAGGACTCCTAGGGAATTGATAACAACAAGAAGAACGGTTGAGAAACTGCCCTTGGCCTAATGTCATCTTGGTTAAACATGTGTTAAAGCTCATAACTAATATCCAACCACTTGAAAATCTACTTTAAATGTTTCCACATAACAAATATTGATCTGCTTATATCCCCACAAAATATCTTGATTTTCTTAGTGCAAGTACAGACACTCAAAACTGATCCTGCAGGGAATTCAGTTGAGATTCCAAATCTTATTTACTACTACGAAACTTCACTTTGATAGACACTTAAAGATCACTATACTTTTATTGAAGTTTAAAATATCTGGTATCTTTTCCAGAATATGGTTGCTGCAATTTCACAAGACAAGTGCCTGCTTGTCTCCTGCCTCTTCTGACCGAATGAAGCAGAGGTCATGTGTTTGAAAGTAACAGCGGCTATTTTCCTGTCTCATGCTTTTCAGCTAGCTAGGTCAGAGATCACTAGACACAGTCTATCAACGTGTATGACTCACAGAGCTGCTTTACTGAGATAAAAACCTCCTCAAAACTAGAATTGTGGGCTCTGATTTCCAGCTACACCATACTTGTTAGCCTGTTGTATCAGGAGAATAAATTGGTGGGTCATTTATTACTTTCAAGCCCAACGTAAGCCAAACACCAGGGCGCATAAATATTTCTGGAACCTATTTTGTCTTGTAAATGGAATAAACTGAAATAATTAATAACTGTTATACATAAAACATAGAAATTGAAAGATTTTTTTGAATGTTATATGAGTTTATTCATATAACTGTATCATATACTCATATCGACCTATTGGTGTGTAAATATCTGCTAGCTTAAAATAACTAAAATTGTTGCATTATAAATTATTTTTTGCATTTACTCTTGAGTAGGTTAGAATAACTTCAGTCTACCAAATGGTTAGGCACATATAGGGCAGAAGGAATGTTTTCATGCTGTAAATGGGGTGAAAATAAATTAGTACTCTGTGTTTGACATTTACTAAAGCTTTTAAAAAACAGGAACAGAAATGCCTTCAGTGAAATTTTCCTTTTAAAAAACATTCTTATGTAAGGTCACAGATACGTGATTTTTGGCTTATAACAGAAATGCAAAATTTAGTGTACTCCCAAGACCTTACCTCAAACTCTGCATGTTTATGTACATCTTCGGCTCTCTGTCTGTTCAAAATAAACTCAGCTTCATTTGCAACACGAACTATATGGTCCTTCATAGCATGGCACAGTAATCTAAAAAGAAAAATACCTTTAGAAATATTATTCTTAATAGCTTTGGTTCGTCCAATTTTTTTCAATAATCAGATTGCAGTATTTCAAATATATATGTTTTAGATAAAGCTAGATATAAAATTAATATATTTTAAATTATGATTCAATAAAATGTGAAATACAGAAAGATGTCATAAAACTGTTGTATCAATTCCTCTGTTAAATAGTGTGTCTTGTGAATCAGCAACTCAGTTAATTCAATTAAGATAGGTTACTTAAAAATAAAAAATTCTGGTTGGAGTGTTTTAAAATGGTTATGCAACAGAACTTACTATCTTAGAGGTAATTTTTCACAGATAAGTTCAATGACCACACTTTAGGAAATCAATAGACTAGATTCTTATTTTTTTTTTTTACATTGTACCTCAATAAAATTTTTAAAAATATAGGATACCCAGTTAAATTTGAATTTCAGATAAACCATGTAGATTCTTACTTTAAATAATGCAGAATGATAAGACTAAATGACATCTAAATTCTTTTAAATGCTGAGATTCCAAATTCTAATATGGAACTACAGTTAAAGTTCAACCATAGAACCGAATTTTTTAGCTACAGAAGTTACTTTTTGAGAAGATTCGAATTAGTTTTTAAATGTGTAGTAACATTTACAGTGAAAAGCCTCTCACTATGTCCTCTAGTCGCCAAATTTTCAACCTCAACAGATACCCACTGTTATGGCTGGGTGTGTTTCAGAGACTTCTAAAATATACAAATAAAATACAAATATATTATTTTCCCTCACTTCCTAACACTGATAATTATTAGTACGTTATACAGTCTGTTTTTTACCCAGCTTTTCTCACATAGCAATGTATCTTGGATATCTTTTCACATGTACACAAAGGGAGCTTCTTCTGACTTCTTTTGTAACACGTGGCAGAGATTACTTCCAAAGATGGCTGCAACAACATTTCTCATCCCACATGCTCTCTTTTGCCGTGTGACTTTGTCATTAAAAAATGGAGACTTTTGCTACTCCTTGTTGATCTGGACTTGCCCTGTGACTTCCTGTGAGCCACAGAATACAGCAGAAGTGATGCTATGCGACTCCTGAGGCTAGGACTAAGATGCCAGGCAGCTTTTGATAGTTTTTGAACTCTCTTCTGGACTCTGTTGCTCCCCTGAGAGAAGCCTACAGGACATGGAGCACACTGAAGAGCACAGAGGTGCTCGGGCTCTCAGGCCTAGATGAGGTCTCAGCCCAAAGTAAGTCACATTCAGGACACTGCAGACCCAGACAGCTCCACATGGAGCCAGAGAGAACTGCTTAGCTGAGCCCAGGCAATGAGAATCATGAGAAAGAAAAAAACTGATTACTGGTTTAAGCCACATGATGATGATGATGATGGAGGAGATGGAGGAGGAGGAAGAGGAGGGGAAAATAATATTGATTATAACAATATCATTTTGTTTTTCACTGTGTCAATTAAAAACAATGATTTGACCTTTTTTAGTCTTCCTCAATTTTTTTTTTTTGGCAAAAAGTAATTACTGTATGTTAAAAACACACACACACACACAAATAATATTTAAAAAGCTACCCTCAAGTCTTTCTGGGCTTTCCTTAAAGGGGAAGCTTAAGAAGTAGTTTCAGTTCCTTTATCTATGTCCTTTTTAAATTTCATTCTAATCCTCATATTCCTTCATTGTACAGTTTTTCTTTCTGGGGATTTTAATCAGAAGTACTATTTCAATAACAGTATTACTTATTTTCACTGCTCATTAATGAAATATATCAACTTTTTTTGCTCAAGTTTTCATAAATATAAATCAGATGGGAATAGATTTAACTTTGTTTTAATTTCTGTACTTACTAAATACTGAGTCCTAGTAATTCCTTCTATATTCTTCACTATATCATGTCTACCTGTGGCAAACTTTCTTCTTTACTGACACATAAATATAAGCAGAAGAAACAAAATATCATTATATATTCTGATATTTCTAATTTATTGTTTAAATATAATTTTAAAAGCCTACATATGTCTTTGAGGTAAGCGTGACTATATGGGATTTATTTGTTCTTTCTAATATCAAGGTTGAATTACAAAACATGAAGTTTTCATCTTTCCACCAAATTACTTGCAATATCTTTGTGGCATTTTCCATAAAAACCGACAGGTGAATAGTTCCTTTATTTTAGGGTGGTAATGTAAATACTGAGCAACACTGAATTCACGATAGTTCTCAGTAGAAATCTGTCTAAAATCCATGTCTGCTCGGACATAGATTTAACCACTCCTTGATGAGATTTAGGTTAAATAACTACTCTGTCACTCTAGGACCAGTGGGAATGGTTCTGACAGTATGACAGCAGCACCAGTAAAATCTTGCATAGCAGCAGGATAGGTGCAGATATTTCCTAGCAGCATGGAGCAGTAATCTCCCCAATCTCTTGAGGGGGACATAGGCACATTCTAATGGGAAAGTTGTCTAGTTTTCCATCTACAAGTTAACCACAACACAAATTATTAAAAGAATACAAAGGTTATGGAAATCTGTTAGGCATGACGATACTTAGGAAAAAAGATAAAAAGTCCTCTGTAAATGATGTTGGAGGGCATACAGTCTTAATCACTGAGGGAAATGGAAAATTAAAATAAGCTAAAAAAGAAAATCATGTAAACTTTGATTATTAACTTTTGATCATATTATCAACCTACATTTTGTAGAGAGGCTTCAAAAGAGAGAAGAGATGTGATATTAGAATATTCCGTTCAATGGCTTTGTCTAGTGCATGCTGAAGGCTGAAGAAAGCCAGGAAGAAATCTAATATGTGCCAATTAGTGCAGATCACAAAACTTAAATAGATTAACAGGAGACAGCAGGAAGGGAAGGGCACATGGTCTGGCTGGTTAATACATATCATTCCCAGGAGCAAAGCAGTGGATTAGCAAAGCAAAGAGGCATGGCGGTGGGGGTGGAGGCTTTGTAACAAAAGACTCCTGTCCTCAGACACACCAAAGAAATTGTATCAGTTTTCCAAAGTCTGTGCCCCTATCTTGGGCACTTATGAGTTCTGCCAACTGATCTATGCTGTTTTATTTACAAGAGGAGAAAGTATCTTTCTATGACTCTTGCCACCATTCTGAATGACCCCATTACCCACATGGAAAACACTGATCACAGCAGCGCACAATTCTTTGACTAGTTAACTTGAAAGATCTTCAAATCTCCCTCACTTCAGCAAATAAATCCAATGGCCATAAGTAGCTTCATTTCACAAATCTTCATGCTTTAAGTCTGCTCTCAGATCATGATCTCCTATCCTTGCTGCTCTCTTTCCTCTTGTGCTTAAAAATTCACTTCCTTTTGCATCCATCTGGGATCTCACAATTCCATGTTTCAACCACTCTTGCCAACACCTTCACTTAACTCCTGATCTACCTGCTGCACTGGAGTTAAAGATACGTAACACTGGGTTAACACACTGGTCTCCTTCCTCAGTCTTACATCTAGGCTATTAAGGAAAGTAACAAAATGAATTTTGACTGAAGATAAAATCTGTATTTCTTTTTGACAGTCAAATTGTTTTTCACTCAGGTTTTAAGAGGCTACACGAATGTCTTCACTATCCTAAGCTCACTTGCTTAAAAAACTAGTATATGTAAATAAATAAATAAACCACTCGGCTGCACTTGGTGTTTATCAGTCTCTTGTTTCCTCAACAAATTATTTTATCTCAAATATGTATATATGCCAAAGCAATATGTTGTTCAGATTGCTTGTTTGTGAGTTTTATAAATAAAGCTGCAGGTTTTCTATACATACTGTTTTTTAAATTAAAATAGTTCAAAATTCTCTTCTATTCCTAATTTGCTAAGAGTATTCTTTCTAATCATGAATGTTACTGACCTTTACTAGATGTCTGCACCTACTAAGATGATCATAAAGGTTTTCACTTTTAATGTGATAAATGAATGACATTTTTAGAAATTTTTAAAATGATGAACAACTCCTGCATTCATGGGATAAACTTCCCTCATCACCCTCTTCCAGTTTGCCCCACATATACATGTTATCTTTTTATACACAGTTGAATTGAGTTCTGCTAATACTTCAATTAGAACTTACAACTCTATATTCACAAGGGAGACTGGCGTGTGATTTTCCTTTCTCCCACACGTCTTGTTTGCTCTTATAATTGAGATTACACAGGCCTCAATGAACACTCTGGATCATTCCCTGTCTCTGATCTCTAGGAGTTTGTGTAAGTTTGGAACAGTGTTTTACTTCAGCATTTGGTAGACTATCCTGTAAACTATTTGGGCTTAGAGTTTTCTCTACAGGAAGAAATTTTACTGATTAACTTCCTTTCATACTTAAAGAACTATTGAGGGTTTTGTTTCTTCTTATTCAGTTATAGGAAGTTGTATATTTTCTAGGAAATTGCTCGTTTCATTTAAATTTGTAATTTTAATGGTATAATGTTTTGATAGCAGTCTCATTTTCTTTTCTAATTAGTTTTGGCTATAATTCTGTCTCCTTTTCATTCTGTGTGTTCACTATTTGTGTTGTTTTATTTTGTTCTTAATCTTAGAAGTTTGCTCATTTCTTATTAATGAATAAACATTTATCTTTGTTAATCTTCTCCACTGTATCTTATTTTTCTATTTCCCTGATTTCTGTTAGACTTCATTATTATCAGCTTTCTTCTACTTTGTGAAGGGGTTCTGTCATTTTCCTAACTTGGATTTTTTTTTTTTTTTTTTTTTGCAGTTAGAGATTTAGTTCATTAATTTTAGGCTTTTCTCTCAAGTAATAAGCTTTTATGCAAATAGATTTATCTTCAAGTTTCATTTTCCTTACATTCTACAAGTTGTTCTATTTAGTATATCTATTATTGTTTAGTCTAAATACTTTTTATGTTTCTTTGAAATATAAGTTATTTAAATGTTCAAAATTCTTTAGCAGTAATGAGAATATTTTAATATAATTTTTTGTTCTCGCTTTCAAAT